ACGCGGAAATAATAGAGCAAGGCGGGATGTAATGAGCTTGTGAGCAGTGGAATGGGATGGAATTAGGTTAAATAGAGTGTGTTGGGGCTGGATGAAACAAAGTAAGAGGATGGAAAGGAATCAGACAAAATGAGAAGGGCTACTCTTGGATAGAATTATATCAAATATAATAGAATGGAAAAGAACAGGGTTGGATAAAAATAAGGAGAATAGCAGAGTGGGATGGTGGACAAACGATTAGAGACTACGAGTAAAGAATATGTACATTGGGATGGAAAAAGTATGTGTAAGCAATAAGAGGGAGAAAGTAAAGGAGGACAATGACAAAAGAAACCTGAGCTCAAAAGTGACAACTAAAATTTCCACAAACCAGACGTTCAAAGGTGAAGGACGAAAGGTAATGGTGAAGAGAAAGGGCTGAGGTGCAGATGTCGTGAGACGATGGGCCGATGGCCAATAATGCTTCTTCAATAGCGACAGACTAAACAAAATGTTTACAAATGATTTAATAAGTTTGACCACAATCAAGATCAACACAAATTAAATTGGCTGATTATTAATGATGCAAAAGCTGTTAGTTCATACTGACAAGGGAACGGCTCATAAACAGAATGATTAACACCTCCCACATACAACTTAGCAGAATAAATGTGAGTCATAAATTGGTCCCAAGAGCATCTACTCATCAGAACCATGGTTCGCGCCTCAAAGCCTGAAAGTGCCTCGAACTTACAGATCGTATACGAGGTCTCCTAAAAACACAACCCTTTTAATGGGAATCCAAAAGGCAAAAGTATGCCTTCATTTGGTGGAAGGATGCAATAAAAGAATGATGATGATAAAAAAGAGCCCGTAATTAATACCTGTGGGCTAAAGGGCAAACTATTCTATGAAGTATATACAAAAAATTCTATTGTGTTTCCACAAAGAGTGGACTCATGTGCGAGAAAGTAGAAGATATAACAACGAGTATGTTGTCTTCCTGTAAATAGGGCCTAATTTGAAAAAGAAGGATTCATAGAGAGTATGTTTCAATGCAATTAGCGGATCTTGAATAAGGGTAGTACCCATCCCAATTCACATAAGATGATAAAGAGCTGATTGCCGAATTTTCACACAATTGTATTAATAGGCCCTTGAATAACATTGAATTTCACTGAATTTCGCATAGTAGGAAATAAAAAACAATATAGGAAAACGGACAGTGATGAGAAATAAAAAGGAGAGAGCTCACCAAATAAGCGCCAAAATAATCGTTGCTATTTGAGATACAAGAAGGCTTGATTGGATGATGAATGCGGCTATTGTATCAGTGCGAATTGATGAGTGCTTGCTGAAGGAAAGGTAAGGAAATGGAGACAACTAAAAGCGTATGAAAGGATTTAGAGTGTGAGATAGAGATATAGAGAGGTAGAGAGAAAGGGAGAGAGAGAGAAAGATAAGTAGAATTAATATACGAAGGTGCTAAGTACTGGGCTTGTGTCCTGAAGAAAGCAGATGAACACAAGATGGGATTCAGTATTGTGGCCAAGGGTAAGTAATCACGACTTGAGAGAAATGCCTTCTTCAATACTAACACCAAAACACACAAGTAAGCGCATCACTTGATTGGAATAGTTGAAGGAACTACACCACGTGTAAAACATGTCGCTCAATTTGTCCGGAAGAAGGATTGAGTTTGGGCGAGTGAAGAAAACAGGACGGGACAAAAGAGGAATGAATGGTATAGTTGGTGCAAGATAAAAAGACCGTTCACTAAGTTACCAGGTCGGATCAAGTGAAGAGGATTTTAGGCCATGAAAGTTGCCTGCACCAAGAAAACACAAGAATATGGCTTCCCATGACTCCAGTGGGAAGCGTGCGTGCAGCAAGATGACTTAATATGAGTGCGCAAACAACAGGACAAAAAGTAAACACATTGGGGTGTGTCAAATCGTGCTTTTCACTGTCCCTTGGCGCGTGCATCCATGACTGTCCGTGTGCTTATGCGAGCACGCATTTGCGGTTGCTACGCTGTTACTGTATATGAGCTTGGAAATTGATCTTCTGCAATTTTTCTAGCCCAGTGCTCCCGAGGCCCCGTAGACATACGGCATTTTCTACCCTTTCCAACCCGTTCATCCCTCAACCCGGAAGAACACACAGATAGGCAGTACCGACAGGCAGGCAACGAGGCAGATGCACTTACGCAGTCACTTGATTTTGGAATGCTGGAGTACAAGGAGGTGCGCAGACCAATTGGCGTAGGCGTCATTGTACATTTGTGCCAGTGGGTCTATACATCTAATCAAAGGTAGGAGCAACTGATAGGACGGTCGGGTAATCGGAAATGTCAAGTGGCACCATTTGGTCACCATTCATGAGATGCTCAACCGTCGGAGGCCATTCAATCCGAACTTGGACGGAGAGACCAAGAAACCGAAGGGCATCGGATGCCAAACGTGGATGCGGATCCAGTAACAAAAACAATCTCACTTGTACAGACACACACATGTTCATATATGGCACATGTAAACCAGGTGGAGCACAACAACTAGTGCGGAATGAGGCGAAATAGACGTGAAGTAAGGAGATCTGGGTAGAAGAGAGTAAATAAAAATAGGGGAAAAAGGCCCTACTGCCTCAGACTCTGGTCTAAGTCAAACTCGTATTTACGTCCTAGCCGCCCTCTATCCCTGTCGCTTCCCACTTCTGAGTCTAAGTCTCAGTCTGGTAGAAAGAGCTGGATCTATGTCTCTATCGTTCAAAGGTTGGATGGATTATTTGCGCTGAAGAGGGCAATAATCCAGCGAAATAGAGGGAAACACAAAGAGGGCTACTGATACGGCCGAGGTGAAAGTAGAGGGATGTGAACAACAAACACATATGCTCCAATAACATCGTGTCTTCTGCCTTAAAAGTACGTATTCCCCCGGGCACGACCACAGTTTAAAATTCGTCCTGGGTCGCGGTAACAGTAACGGCGGGACCTATGCTGAATAGATGAGGGCACAGCCAATGGTGGGCTGTCTTGACAAAAGAAACCCACGGCACCGATGGGCTACATGGTAGGTACAATTGTCAAGGCAATAAGGACATGAAAAGTTGGAGGTAGATTTGCTTCTTGCTTATTGGAAGAGCGAGTGATATCAATATGCACCAGTGTCGAGTGTTCATGTCTGCTCACGAGGAATTGAAGAAAAGGCTTAGGCTGTGTGAAATGACTTATTTTACTGACTTATTGAATTTGATGAGTCTTTCCGAAAAGTATGGTCATGCATTCGGACAATGCCTCTGACAAGACAGATTAAAGCAAAGCACCGGTTCATCGAAGTTGCAAGACCTTGAAGCGAGAACTTCTTCGCACAATTCAACAGTCTTCACTAA